TACAGATGTGGGAGGACACTGAGGCCTAGAGTTGAGCAGCGTGGCTGAGCAGAAACCCGAACCCAGGCTGTGCGTGCCTTGAGTTTGGCTTCTTCATCTGTCCTCTTGGGACAACTTCTCAGAAGCCAGGATCTGGGAGGAGGTTGATGGAGACACTCATGTGACCCAGTGAAGCCCAGGAGCAGGTCAGGCAGGCCCGGCCAGCGGAGCAGAGTATAAAAGGAGCATCCGGCTCTGCTAACAATGGACTTGGTTTGCTGGTCCACACAATGGGGCACCAAAGGCAAAGGCCACCTGCTACTGCAGGCAGGGAGGGGGAGTTAGGAGTCTGCGAGGCCTGCCCCAGCCCCCATCTCTCCTCACCCCCAGGCCAAATTCCAAGCAAAGAGAGGAAGAGGGAGTTTTGGGGAGGGGATGTGAAAGGACCAGCAGAGCCTTGACAACAGGGATTTCCCAGGTCTGCAAGTGCTGAGGTGGGAAGGGATGTCCCGGGTAGGGCTGCGGGGAGGGGGTTGGTCCTACCTGAGGAGGTTGGTTTCTGGTTTGAAAAGGATCCTGGGTCCAGAGGAAAGGTGACAGGCCCCGGTGGGGGCATTTTCTGGATTACAAATGGGACTGGGAGGGGATTCCTCAGGCGGAGGGGGATTATGAGCCTGAGGATGCCTGAGAGGACATGATGAAGGTAGACAATGCTAAGGAGATGATGGGACAGGGTGGGTGTCTCAGGTCCAAGGGTGGAAAGTGGTAATGGTTTTGACTGGACACTGGGGAGGGCTCTGGGGTACAGGGGGCCTGGAGTATCCTTGGTCCAAAGCAGGCTGTGGCAGTGTTAAACAGGGAGTTCCCAGCTGCGGGTTTAGGGATTGGAGTGTTTCCTAGAGCCTAGGAGATTCCCTTTCTTGGGAAATCCAGGTTGAGCAGGGGTAGCAGGTGCAGAGAGCAGAGTTCCTGGGCTGGTATCGTGTGATGGTGTGTGTGTGTGTGTGTGTGTGTGTGTGTGTGTGTGTGTGTGTGTGGTGGGGATTCTGCTCTCAATGATAGTGTGTGTGGAGGGCACTGGTGTCCCTGATAGAAGGTTCAGGTTGTTCTGGGGCTTTTGCTGAGAGTGATGAGTCTCAACTAGGGGTTCTCAGGTTCAAAGAGGCCCCCATGGGGAGATCCTGGTTTGGAAAGCAGTAGGGGTTTTGCTAGAGCCAGTTTTGAGATTGGAGGGGAGGAAGTCCTGGCTGGGGGGCTTCTGGAGGATAATCTAGCTCCCTCCACGATGGTTGTCTCTCATACATCCATAGTTAGGGGCTGCTAAAATGGAATTCCAGGTCCAGAGAAAACCAAAGTGTCTCTATTGGGAGAAAACTCTGCATTGAGGGCTCCCCGATACAAGGGAGATGTCAAGATGGAGTGGGGTACATGGAGAGGGGTCCTGTATCTGGAGTCAGGGCTTACCTGCTGGGGAGTATGAGTATGAGAGGCAAAGGCCACCTGCTACTGCAGGCAGGGCCCCTTTCAGGGTAATGGTCACGATCCAGAGGAGGAGCCCTCTCAGAGGGAGGCCCCAGGTCCTGGCTGAGGGATCTCTACTGGCAGTAAGGTGTTTAGTGATGGCACCCTGAGGGGGTCTGGAGATTCAGGGTTCTCTCTGGGCACCAGAGTCAGGAGGAGGTTGGGATAGGGCTTCCCGAAAGGCTTCCAGGAAAGACCTATCTGGTCAGTCAGGAGACATTGTTTGAGGGGGTGGCAATCTGAGACCAGAGTCTTGGGTGGCTGAGGTCCGAGTCCAGAGAGGGTGAGGGTCTCAGGCCCAGGGTCCCAGGTCCTCGCTGGAGGTTTCTGAGTGCAGTCTAGGCCCAGAGGGGCCTGGAAGGGCCATGTCTCCAAGGGGTGAGGCAGAGGAACAATGTCCCAGATGCTCCCTGGCAGGTACTGAGTACAGCCCTCGTCCTGGAGAACTGGGTGTTTTCCTGCGGGGAGGAGAGGCTTGGCTGGGGGCTTCCCGAGGGAGGCAGATCCCACGACTGTGGATCCCGGATTTTCCTCCAGGGGTTTTGAGGGGATCCCAGGCCCAGACCGGACTGGAGTGATCTGCTGGGACAAGGTTACCTCCTGAGGGCTCCCGAGTGCCCCTGGGGGTGGGTTCTCGCTAGTTTGGGGACTGGGGCGGCGCTCACCTACCCACGGTGGTGACCAGTGTGCTGGCAAAGAAGAGAGCAGAGGCAAAGTCCCAGGCGGGGTCCGAGGCGTTGGCGGGCCCCGAAGCGTTGGCGAGCGCTGCGCGTCCCAGCCGGCCGGCTGCCAGCACTCGCTCCACGAAGGCGTCCAGAGCGGGGGCGGCCAAACACGGGCTGCGCCGCAGCAGCTGCTCCCGCAGCATCTCCAGCTCCGCGCGGAGCCGAGCCTCGTGCGGCCCCTCCAGTCGCGCCACCAGCAGCGCGCCCAGCCCTAGGTACACGGCGTAAGCGGCCAGGGCGCCCGCCAGGAGCGCGCCCCGCCGCATGGCGCTCCCCGGCTCCCACCGAGCCCCGCCGCCCCACTGACCGGCTTCCACCGAGCCCCGCCGCCCCGCTGACGTGGCCCCCGCCTGTTGATGGCCGGGCGCCCAGCTTTAGTTCCGGGAGCTCGAAGCACGGCCTCCAGCTCCCCAAAGAGGAACCCGAGAAGAAAGGGGAGGGGAGGGGCAGGAGAGGGAGGAGAAGCGCCCCGCCTCCGGGAAACTGAGGCACGCCCTACCGCCAGGTGTTAACACCGAGAGGGTGGAGCTCAGCACTCCGGGACCCAGGAGACTAACCGGATGGAAAGAGTGGGGCATTCTGCCGTTCCCTCTCTGCGTCCCAGGCGTCTTGATTCCTTTGTTCAGAAAGAGTCCGAACTCTCCTTTCCGCTCAAGGACCGAGAAGTCGCGCCCCAACTCCTCCGGGCCATCTTGCTGGGCTACAAGATTGTGCTTTTCATCAGGGTGCATGGCTGAGGGGACCAGGGGACAAATTGGCATCCAGCCCTCATCCCATTCGCCAAGTCGTGCGCTCTGGAGTGGAGTTGCGTCCACCGGTGGGGAGGCCTGTCTAAGTCACAACGAAGGACACCACAGGGGCAGGTGTCCTCGTGCCCTTACGGACAGAATCGGGATATTTAGCTCTTCACCAGATCTTTGCTCAGTGCCCACTTTGTGCCCGACCCTTTGCTGAGTGATCCCGGGGAAACAGCAGTGACCAAGACAGTTCTGGAACCTGCCTTCAGGGGGCTCCCAGCACTTCAACAGAGTGACAGCCCAGAAAGCAGCACAGGCAGTGACCAGGGCTGGGATGGAGGATGCCCAGAGGAGGCAACTACCGCAGCTTTTGAGAAATCAAGAGCTTCTGGAGAAAGGAAATATCTGAAGTGAGAGAGGAAGGATGAACAAGAAAGAGCCAGGGTCTCTTTTCGAGGCAGAATCACAGATCCACACCTTCACTGAAGGGGGGGAATCTTTCCTTCCCTGCTCCCTCTGCTTCCCTGCTTCCCTGCTCCCTCTCCACACCCCCCTCTCTGACTGCCTTCCTGAGGGCAGCCCCGACTCCTGACCACATCTGACTGGCAAAGGAGTGGGGCTCGGGGACCAGTTCAGACACACCCAGATGGTTCTATTTATAAAACTGTGGCAGCTCTTGGGAAAGAGCCCAACTTGGGGCTTAGAACTCACAGGAAGAGACACCTGATAATACAACAGCAACAGTAGGGGCCAGTGATCAAAGGCCCTATGGACACAGAGCTTGTATCTCAACCCCTCCTCTATTATTCCTCTATTAGTCATTAAACAGATGAGAAATTTTAGGCTTAACAATTGAGTAGTCACAAAACTGGTAAGGTGTGACCATGTGAACCTGAGGCAACACAAAGCTAAAATACTTGCTTACTAATAAAAGTATTCAGAAAATGAAAAAATAGTGATGGAGCCCGAAGGACAGATGCTAAACCAGAGGTTCAGAAGAGGAATGGGGACAACTCACAAAGAAAGCCCGAGACTAAGCCAGGACTCATAACTGAGAGACTAGAACAGTCCTCAAGGTCCCCAGAAAAGGCAATGCGTCGGGAGGAAAGGGAAAGCCACAGTGACAGTCACTTGCTGACATTCTTCCGGAGTGCTGTCATTGCCCAGAAGTCACTTCTACAGTTATCTTTGCCTGAGATAGTGGAGGAAAGTGTGGGACAGAAAATGGGAGGCTGCAGGGGAGAAAAAGGGGGAGACCGAGTGAGATACATGGGGATACTGAAAGACAAAGAGGAGAGACTAAAGAAGCTTAATTCTCCGGGCTTCTCACTTGCAGGTGTGCCAGTGTGTGCTGTGAGTTGCTGGGGGATGTAAAGTGTTTTGGGAGAACTGGGAAAACCAGGTCGCAACCCAAAGCATTTTTTATCATTTTCTGGGGGAATATGTAAAGAGATATTCCTACAGACATCTTGGTTCTTACCCCCTAACTTGCTGAGTATTCTTTTCTCACTCTAAACATTCACTTTAATATCTAAGATCTGCCAAAACTGTAAAGGGCAGAGCCCGCTCCACTCCGCTTAGCCCCTCGGAAATACAAATGGACTTCTTCTTCCCTGCTCCACACCCTTCCCTGGCTCCCGCGTGCTCTCGGCGACCCAAATTGAGCGTCTCTCCAGGGAGAACTCCATTTCCCATCCGCCTCTTCGCTCGACACCTACATTTCCCATCATGCACGACACCGTCTACTCCTAAGATCGTTCCCTGCCCCGCCTTCCTGCCGCCCCGGTCTGGACTCTCGGCTTACGTCACGGGCCTCCAGCCCTCCCCTCTTACCCACAGCGAACGCGTCCAGGCTTCCACGAGAGGGCGTGGCCTCTGAACGATCGTAACGCCCATTGGCTGTCGCGTCGCCGGTGGGACGTGGCTACGGGAGCCGGGCGGGCACATTTCGAACCGTGGCTGGGGCGGCGGCGGTAGCAACGAAGGATGCATCCAGCTGGCTCGGCGGCGGCGGGGACTCCCCGGCAGCGTAAGTGGCGTACGTGGCCCGCCGAGGTGATGAGGCGGGCGGGGTGTGGCGGGGCCGCCGCGGCGGTTGGCGAGGTCGCTGCAGGTCGGAGGTCAGGAAGTCAGGGATCTGGAGCTTCGAGGTGTGCACCGCACCAGGATGCCAGCTCCGGGTAGGGGCGCTTTGGGGTCGATTTTTTTCCCCTTAGGATATTATTTTGAAAGAAAACAACTTTGGGCAGGATACTGTATGATGAGCAGAAAATCGCGACTTTCATTGATTTTGCCGTAAGCAATCATCCTACCCCTTACCCCTTCGTAGCCACGGGCTGTCGCCTATGCCCTAGGACAGGGTTCGTAGCCCTCCATGAGCGAAGAGGGCCATGGTTATCCCTTATTTAAGATTTGAACCTGTGTTTATTTGGCTGTTAACCTCTTTTTTTCCATCTTTGCGAATTTGTATGTCTAATCTCCGTGAATGTGCGTGCATCTCATCTATTCATTCAACATATCCTGCCTCAGCTCCCCTGTGCCAGCCCTGTGCTGGAATGTGGGTACCTGGTAGTGACCAGCAAAGCACCGGTCATTGTAACTCTTGTTTGTTTCTGAGTTTGGTGGGAAGACAGCCACTAAACTCAGAAACAAACAAGGCAGCCTGATAATTTGGGGACTAATTAGAGCCATCAGGGAATAATCAGGATGTGTTGAGGGAGACAGTGTGATGCGCCCATTCCTCCCTTCAAACATCAATAAGGTGGCTGGCTGGTCCTGTGGTAGGTGATGCTGGAAATACAGTGGTGCCCGACAGGTTCCTGACCTCATGGAGCTACCAGTACAGAGCAGAAGACAGCAGCAGGCTTGAGTGATGGACATTCTGATGAAAGAAGCAGCACAGGCAGACAGGTTAGAGCCAGGGAGAGGGAAGCACAATCAGAGTGATTATGGCTGGGATGGAGGTGTTGTAGCCCAGATTAGGCATATGACCCAGCCTGGGGGTGTCATGAAGCTTCCTGGAAGAGGTGCATCTAATTAGCCCAGAGAAGGCGATTTGTAGTGAGGGAAAAGCATTGGAGGCCTGTGCTGAGTAAACAAGTAGACAAATGAATTGTGATAAGTGCTCAGAAGGGAAAAGAGAATCACTGGATATTATGAGAAAGAACAAGTTGTGGCTAGTGTTTATATTGAGGAATGAGAAAGATCTCTGAGAAGGAAACATTTGAGCTGAGGCCTGAGTGCAACACTGGCAGTTGTCAATAGTGGGAAGGTGTTCCAAGGTGATGGATGTTCAAAAGTCTTTGGGGGCCCTGGCCGGTGTGGCTTAGTTGGTTGAGCATGTCCCAGGCACCCAGAGGTCACTGGTTCAATTCCTGGTCAGGGTGTATGCTCGATCCCCAGTATGGGGCCTGCAGAAACAGCCGATGGGTGTTTCTCTCATCGATGTTTCTTTCTCTTCCCCTCCCTAATCAAGAATGAATATATATGTGTGTGTGTATGTGTATATGTGTATATATATATGTGTGTGTGTGTGTATATATGTATACATATGTATATATGTGTGTGTGTGTGTGTGTGTGTGTGTGTGTGTGTATATATATATATATATATATATATTAAAAAGCCTGTGGGGGCTAGGAGCTTGGCAGGGTCATGGTCTGAGAGGAGGCCATTGTGACTGAGGTGCAGTGAGCCCCAAGGAGGGGTAAGGTAGTAAAAGAGGGTGGTTAGCCGGGCTGGGTCCTGCAGGGCCTCATAGGCGTTAGGATTTTATTCTAAACACAGTGGGCCCTGATCTTAGGCAGAAGACAGGAAATGTTCTCTTTTGCACTGAAAAAGATCCCTCTGGCTGCCCACTGGAGAGAATGTTGGTGCAGCTAAGAATGGACAGGAGGACCCAGGGGGAGGACATTTAAGTCAGGTGCAAGCTGACATAGTCTGAGAGGGAAGGGTAACATTGAGACATAGTGGGCAAGAATTAGCGATTGATTGGTTGGATGCCAGACAGAAGGGGAATCGGGGGCTTGGAGACGGCGGTTAGGGTCCAGGGGCAACCAGAGGCCATTGCCAAGAAGTGGCCTACCTGGGTCTGGCTACAGGAGAGAAGTGGTGGCCAGAGACAGAGCCCAGAGCCTAAGGTACACTGTGAAAGTTGTGGGTGTGGGTGAGATTGCCCTAGGTTAGGGCAGAAGACAGGGCAAGGGTGGAAAATTGGGTCACACATTCCAGGGAGCTGGAAATAAGTCACCGATTGAGAGACAGATTGGGAATCCATCAGCTCCATGAAGGCAGGAGTTTTTGTCCCTTTGATCATTGCTACCTGCATCAGAGCCTAACACAGGAGGGTGCTAAGTAGGTATTTGTGGGCCTCAGACAGAAAAGAGAAAAAGACAGGCACAGTGTCTCAGACGCCAAGAGTTGGAGGTTGGCATTTGGGGCAATGCACCTAGTGCTGTGAGGACTTGAATTGGATGAGAGCAGAATAATGGACCCGACCTGGTGGTGCAGAGAGCCTTTAGGTGGCTGGTGGGAGCAGGACCCCAAATACCACTGGCTGAGGGGTAACA